CACACACACACACGTGTACATATCTGCACAAAAATTACACACACACGTGCACATAAAGACAAGTCTACATATGACATAAACATACAACCAAAACCTGTGAATTCTGCGGTGCAAACACAAATATGATACCTAAACCTACCTATAAAACAACAACGACTCCACAAACAACAATAAACACACTAAAAAAAACAACTAAACACACACAAAAAAACGAAAACCCAATTTAAAAAAAAAAAGAGGAAAACAAGAAGGGAATTCGAACCAAAGATCCGAATTCTCGAACCCACGAATAGAAGCTTAAATCACCTTTGGGAAGGGTTCTCCAGTGGCCCGGCAGTTCATGATGGCTTCCTCTCCCGGGCGTAAACTCTGGATGTGGGGGGTGACCTGCACTGTGGGCACGGCTGGGGGGGAGGGGGTGAGAGAAAGGATTAAAGGTCGGTTAATGGTTGTGAGTTGTAATTGGTAATGGGTTCATGGTGATAAATATGGAGATAATGAGAAATAGAACAATAATAGTAAGAATATGGTGGATAGTAATAATATAATAGCAATAAAGATTATTAACTGGTAAAGCTGATAATGATGGTGGTTACGATGACGATAACTGTAAGGATAGTAATAATAAACAATAAGAAAAAGGTGAGAGAGAGAGATGATGATGACCAAAATCATGTCAAAACTATGTCATATGTGAAGATAATAAAAGTAATATTAAAAATGAAACAACAATAATAATAATAATGGTAATAATAATTAACAACTATTAATAATAAAACAACGACAATAATAATAATAATAATAATAATTAACAAATATTAATAATAACAACAATTATAATAATAGTACATCAACATGATGAGAGATGATATGAACAATACACAAAGAGCAAAGTTGGACAACAATTACAGAAGACAGTTTGTTAATTCGACCATCTGTTGGTAACGTAGAATATGGAATAAAAGGAAAAAAAATATATATATAATAAAACTATATAAATACATACTCTACAACAAAATAAAACACAACAAGAATATAAAACAATACAACAAAAATCAGGTCAAAAGGCGATAAAAACAGAAAAAAAATACGATTCCAATAAATGGTAGGAAAAAAATCGAACAATCTGTTAAAGATGCATTTTGGCAAGGAATCCATTTCAAGATTCACTGCTTCGTCACGGCATCTCAAAAAAAGCTTGTGATGAAGAACATTCACAAACTTATTGCAAGTTGAATACATCGAAGGACAACTTTAAGCAAGAAATATTGGGAAATGTCTTTTACTCGAACGCTTATGGTCAATCCGATGCAACGCAAAAAGAAAACTGAAATGTCTGCGGCACTTGCTCGCCAGAATACGGTATTGTGCAAGGCGAAGTAGACAGCGACGCCAAAATAGCATAGCGTGCTGAAAGGTAAAAATATTTGATTTCGGATAAGAGTGAGAGAGAGAGAGAGAGAGAGAGAGAGAGAGAGAGAGAGAGAGAGAGAGAGAGAGAGAGAGAGAGAGAGAGAGAGAGAGAGAGAAAGAGCGAACGAATCTAACAAAAAACAGAAATAGTCAGATAGAAAAAAAAACATAGAGACAAAGTAAAAAAAATCAAAACAACACAAAAAAGACAAAAAGCGACCAAAAAGACTGAAGGCTAAGACCCACAGACCCAGTGCCCCGTCCCCCCGGCAGCGCTTACTGTGCACGGTGAGGATATGGGTCTGCACAACATCCTTGTTCCTGTCCGCATGACACGTGTAGTTGCCTGCGTGGACCAGCTGGAGGCGAGTGAGGTACAGCGAGCCGTCCACGAACACGCGGATGTCCTGTCGATTTCCGAATGGTTAATTTGACTCGAAGGGACTTTAGGTTCGGGAGTAGGGGGGGCGTAGGGAGGTTGTAGAGAGGGGGAGGCTGGTGTTGTGTGTTGTTGGGGTTGTGTGGTTTTTGGGAGCAGGAGGAGGGAAGGGGGGGGGGTTGGTGGTGTGTGCTTGTGGGGGTTGTGGGAGGAGGATGGGTATTGGGGGGGGGGGGGGGGGAGAGGGAATAGGTGTGAGGTGGGACTGGCAGATACATACACCTAATCTTCAATTTTCATTACATAAGCCTCAAACTTTTGTATCCATCTTAATAAACTACCATACGCTACCAATTCAAAATCTGATGTATGTGAGCACAAGAAAAATAAAGCCACATCATCAAAAGAAGACAAACATCCATTTAACCCATGAACCATTAAATCCCATGAATCATAAACTCACGAACAAAGAACCCGAAAGCTCATGAACCACTAAACCCACGAATGAACCTACACGAACGAACCCACACGACTCCTTTCCACGACTCACCTCGGAGTTGAGAGCGGCCAGGTCGAGTCCATTTCTTCTCCAGACGATAGGTGGCGTGGGCGTGCCCGTGACGTCACACTTGATCTCGAGGTTGTCCCCTACCCTGGCGGACACGTGGTTCACCTCCAGGGCCTTATCTAGGGACACTACGGACACAC